TATCTGATTGTTTGCTTGGTGGTGCACCTGTTTGTTTGCTATATGTACCTTTGGTCCTATAGTGAACCACACCATTCTCGACATTCCTCCTTGGCACAAGAACTCACGATACCCTTGGCCTAGGCTACTAAGCCTAGGCCCTTCTTAAACCCGGTTACCAGCTAAGCTAGTCTCGTGACATGGTATAGAGCGATTAAAATCCTGACCTAAGTTAATGGGCCCACCCATTCGCGGCACGGCGCTCGCTGCGACGGGCGCGGCGGCGAGCTGGCCGCGTTTCCCTCGTTGCCAGCCCGTCGTTTTTTCCCTCGTCGCCTGCCCGTCGCCAGCCCGTCGCGTTTTCTCCCGTCTCCAGCCCGTCGCGTTTCCCCTGTCGCCAGCCCATCGCGTTTCCCTCGTCGTCAGCCCGTCGCTTTTCCCCCCCGTCACCACCTCTGCCCTCGCCTACGCCTGCCGCCGAGTTTGCGCGAGAGTGGGGAAAGTGGGGGGGGGCGGCATCGGGAATGAAGGGGACGGCGTCCGTGGCGGTCGTCGCGGCCCTTCCCCCCCCCGTCCCGTTTTCTTCCCTCCCGTCGTCTCGCTTTGCCCGTCGCACTCCCCCGGCCCCCTGCCCGTCACCCACCCCGTCGCGACTGTTCGCGTGTGCAGGGGCGGTCGCTGTGGGTGGGAGAGGGAGGAGGGGAAGGGATTGGCGGCGGAACTCTGTGGGGGGGAGTGGGAAAGGGGGAAGGGAGTGGCGGCGGAATGCTGTGGGGGAGAGAGAGGAAAAGGGGGAAGGGAGTGGCGGCGGAACACCAGCGATCATCACCAGGCACCAGCGCCAGCACCAGCGCCAGCCGCCAGCACCAGGCACCAGCACCAGCGCCAGCCGCCAGCACCAGGCCCCAGCACCAGCACCAGCACCGAAGCCCGTCACCAGCACCAGCACCAGCACCAGCGCCGTCATGCCAGCACCAGGCACCAGCACCAGCGCCAGCCGCCAGCACCAGGCACTAGTACCAGCGCCAGCCACCAGGCCCCGGCACCAGGCACCAGTACCAGGGCCAGCCGCCAGCACCAGCACCAGCTCCAGGGCCAGCCGCCAGCACCAGCACCAGCTCCAGGGCCAGCCGCCAGCACCAGCACCAGCTACAGGGCCAGCCGCCAGCACCAGCACCAGCTCCAGGGCCAGCCGCCAGCACCAGCACCAGCTCCAGGGCCAGCCGCCAGCACCAGCACCAGCTCCCGGGCCAGCCGCCAGCACCAGCACCAGCTCCAGGGCCAGCCGCCAGCACCAGCACCAGCACCAGCTCCAGGGCCAGCCGCCAGCACCAGCACCAGCCCCAGGGCCAGCCGCCAGCACCAGCACCAGGGCCAGCCGCCAGCACCAGCACCAGCTCCAGGGCCAGCCGCCAGCACCAGCACCAGCACCAGGGCCAGCCGCCAGCACCAGCACCAGCTCCAGGGCCAGCCGCCAGCAGAGAACCCCGCCAGCAGAGAACCCCACCAGCAGAGAACCCCGCCAGCAGAGCACCACCCTCTGCCCTGCCTCTCCCCTCCCGCGGCTGCTACTGTGGGGGGTAGGTGGCGGGAGCGGGGGGGTGGGAGGGCTGGCTGCAGTGTGAAGGACAGGGCAGAGACAACTGTGGGTTGGGCAGGGGTGTGGAGGAAGGAAGGGAGGGAGGGGGTGCAGTTCCAGGGGGTGGCTGATATGGGGGGTGAGGTTGAAGGAGGGTGGTTGATTGGGGGTGGGGATGTAGGGGTTAGTAAGAGGGGACGCTGCGGCCACCCCCCCACCTCCTCTCCTCATCCCCCACTCAACCCCCCTTTCGTAAAAGGGGGTTAGTAAGAGGGGACGCCGTGGCCACCCCCCCACCTCCTCTCCTCATCACTCACTCACCCCCTCCTGTGTTCTTATCTCCTCTTCTCTCCTCTCTCCCTCTCGCCTCCTCCCCCCACGTACCCCTCTGCCGTCTCCCACCATGCCTGCTCTACCCCTTCAGGGGGTGTTGACTGCACTAGTTATTACTGCAAGCAGGCTAAGGGGGTGTGTTAAAGTTACATTTAATATATCCTGCTTGCTGTAGTTACTATAGTGTAGTTATCTGATTGTTTGCTTGGTGGTGCACCTGTTTGTTTGCTATATGTACCTTTGGTCCTATAGTGAACCACACCATTCTCGACATTCCTCCTTGGCACAAGCTACTCACGACACCCTTGGCCTAGGCTACTAAGCCTAGGCCCTTCTTAACCCGGTTACCAGCTAAGCTAGTCTCGTGACAAGATCACCCGGGACAGAGCACGCCGCACCATCACACTGACTCAGTCACACATGGTGCAGCAGGTCCTTCGGCGCTTCGGCTTCACCTGGTCCTCAGCACAGCACACTCCTCTGGCTACAGGTCACTTGCTCTCAGCTCCACCTTCGGACGAGTCCGTAGAGCCGAGTGGTCCTTACCCAGAGCTAGTGGGCTGCCTCATGTACCTGATGACCTGCACTCGTCCTGACCTTGCGTACCCTCTTGGCCTTCTGGCTCACTACGTGGCTCCTGGTCGGCACCGAAAGGTGCACATGGATGCTGCTAAGAGGGTACTGCGCTACTTGTGCAGTACATCGGGCATGGGGCTCGTGCTTGGAGGGCGGAGCTCAGTTGTCCTCACTGGACACTCAGACGCTTCTTGGGTTGACGACCAGGCTACACAGCGGTCGTCACAGGGTTACACTTTCAGCCTTGGCTCCGATCCTTTTTCTTGGCGGCGCTCGTCTTCTGTTCTCAGCTCCAGTTGTGAGGCTGAGATCTACGCCACAGCCATGGCTGCACAGGAGTTACGCTGGCTCACCTACCTGCTGACCGACCTGGGAGAGCGGCCTCGTTCTCCTCCAGTTCTGTACGTAGACAACAAGGCCGCCATTGCCTTGTGTCAGGAGCACAGACTGGAGCACAGAACGAAGCACATCTCTCTGCGTTACTTCCTGGCTCGAGAGTTGCAGCAGCGGGGTCAGCTTTGCCTTGCTCACGTGGCCACTCGGGCCAACACTTATGATATATTCACCAAGGCACTTCGTTCTGGTGACCATCAGCGCTTTTGTACTTTGTTGGGCCTTGTGCCTACGTTTCCACACTTGCTGTAGTCTCTGCTTGTACTGTGATCTATATATATATACCTGCATGCTTGCTCTTGCTAGATAGAGATCACTGTGCTGTTCTTGTTGCTTATATACCTCTGCATGTGGACTGGCCTTGTGGCCGTTTGCTTGTGCTCAGTGTGTGTGGTGACGTTGTGATCCACCCTGAGCTGTGTTTTTGTTTCTTCTCTTGACTGGTCTTGTGACCATTGCTTGCTCTGGCTATCCCCCATTTCGCCTATGGGGGTGTGTCAAAACATCTGCATATTATTATCTAGGCAATATTGGGGCTAGCCTTAGGGGGTACTGAAATATTCTCGACACTCTAGTTTTGTACCCCAACCTTGACCTAATGACATCATTCCTGCCTAAGTCTTAACACGCTGGGCAGCAGGTGCGCGGTCAGGGTGGCGCAGCGCGCGCGCAGCGCGCGCAGGGCAGAGCGCCGGCCGTGCAGGCAGTGCGCGGGCAGAGCAGGAAGCGTGCGGGTCGAGCGCGCGTAGGGCTCGGGCAGCGCGCGTGCGGGGGGGCGCGGGCGGGGCACGTGCGTGCGTGCAGGCGGCGCGAGCAGGGCGCGTACGGGTTGCGCATAGGGCAAGTCAGGGCGATCGCGCTAGGCAGGGTGGCACTAGTGAACAAACGGTCGCGATTTCGTGGGGCGGGGCAGAACAAACGGGCAGGATACAAGAAAATGGTGGGCCCTTAAGAAAAAAAATAGGTCCTATGGGACCTGCTCAGAATACCATGTTAGAATCTAGTCTAGACTAGGTGACTAGAGTAGAGAGGAGAAGTGTTGATTAGCTAAGGGGGGGGGGGGGGGGTACAACAGTGTCGAGAAATGTTATGTACCCTCTAAGGATAACCCCTACATCGCCTAGAAAGATAGAAATCATATATTGTTCTGACTTGCACTCCCAAGAACAGGTTGAGAACACAACACAACCCCTTGCACTCCCAAGAACAGGTTGAGAACACAACACACAACACAACCCCTTGCACTCCCAAGAACAAGTTGAGAACACAACACACAACACAACCCCTTGCACTCCCAAGAACAGGTCGAGAACACAACACACAACACAACCCCTTGCACTCCAAAGAACAGGTTGAGAACACAACACACAACACAACCCCTTGCACTTATGTCATTATATTAGCGCCGGCGCTTATAGAAATCCTCGATTACAAGCCCACCCCCAGGCCCTCATTTATCAGCCTAAAACATGCTGATCACACTGTGCACCTACCGTATCTGTCCCATGGCCACCTTTGGCTGCTTGCTGATATTGAAGTTGCTGAAAATATGTTTGGAGGTACCGTATTTTTGAGTTCACCCTGTGCACTCAGGGGGAAAACAGTGGAAGTCTGAATTTCGCACACTCCTATTGAAAACACACCTTTCATGAAATTGCTTACGATAAATTACACTTACCACAATACAAAACAACGGCAGTCCTGGAAAGCCGGACCATAGCAAGGGCAATCAGAGCATCCTACAACTTGTACCGACGAGGCTCTTGACAAAGTGCTGACACATTAAGCGTCAGGTCAACGAAACCTTCTACACACCGACGCAAAACAATCTGTTAGGAAGCAGGAAGCCCTCGATGCAATCGCAAGTTGGATTTTTGTTCTTCTCCTTCACGCACTTGCCGTTGGGCCCACAATCCACCGATCATGCTTCTGCAGAAAAGAAAGCCAAGGCAAAAAGACAGATATTTCACCTTAGAAGCAATATTGAGTATGGTATGCATGCAATCCTCCAAGGTTGAGTGGAGGCTAAAACACTGAAGTGGCAAGAGATATCTGCTAATAGCTCCAGACTCAAACCCAAGAAAATCCCAAGGACAGGTTGGGAACACAACACACAACCCCTTGCACTTTTCCAACCCACCAATGCAAGAGAGCTGGTCGGCAGACAACTTGTAGCCGGGGTCACAGAGACAGTACTCAGCATCCTTAACTTTATCGATCCTGCACGTGCCGCCATACCCACAATAATCCCTATCACAATAGTCTGCAAAGAAAATAATACATATAAAAAAAAGAAAAGAAAAGGGAATGATGACAACCATGAGGTTGCAACCCTCACTGCTGCAGGCTGCAACAAGCGCACATGAAACCAGAGGTAGGCTGCGTGAACCATGGCAATGGTTGCAGATGCATTCATGCACTCCAGCTCTTTCCACCACATGCCCGTGGCAGGAACGGCGGTTCCATTCACACTTGACAGCGCCCAAGCCAGAGCGTGAAGCTGAGCTGAGACGAGTTCAAACAGAGCTCACTGGCACATTCATCGTTGTGGAAACTGAGGTTTGAGCTCACATGCTGTACAAGTCTAGGTAGTATGGAACTCACCCCATTGGGTACAATACGTGATGTAGTCCCCGTTCCTCCTGCACGTTTGGCTGGCCGGACATACCACATTGCATATGTCTGCAGTGGAATGGAGTTGATGCAAGAGAAGGAAACGATTTGGAGAATGCACTGACAGAAACCCAGGTGGAACATACATGATAGCAGCTCAGCTGAGGAGAAGCCAATCTGAGGAGGCTCCAGGATCCACCAACTCGTGGCCTCGAGGCCAGTCTCGAAGAGAGACCTTTCAACTCACCAGTGCAGCGTCCACTCCCAGCCACTTGGTAGCCCGCGGGGCAATCGCATTCGGCATGTCCGAATCCCTCCTCATCATATCTCTTCACGCACGTGCCTTCGCCACAATCCACTAATTCACAAATGTCTGCAGAAAAGAAAACCAAGGCGAGAGAAAGGTTTCCATCTTAGAAACAAAATTGGTTCTGCTTGCAATCCTTCAAGAGGAGAGGCGGAATCAAGGAAGTGGGAGGAGGCGAAATCCGCTCAGCTTCAAACTCCAGCTCAGAGCCTAGCAACTCCCAGGGCAGGTGGAGAACGCAACACACAACCGCTTGCACTCCTCCAACCCACCAATGCAAGAGCGCCCGTCAGCAGTCTGTCTGTAGCCTTTGCCGCAGTCACAATACGGACTTCCGTTCGTATCCTTCTTGCACGAGCCGGACCAACAGTCATAACCAAACCAATCACAGTTGTCTGCAACAAGAAGGAAACACATAAAAAAGGAATGACGATGAACAGGATACACACATAGAGGGGAATGATGAGTATTGACAAGCATGGAAGCATGACAACCACGAGTACTGACAAGAATGGAATGAGAGGTACGCAACATGTCAATTCACAATGTCGCTGTCCCACATCTTGGCTGGATGAAATCGTGACATGCTTCTTGCACCACTTGCTTTTGATGTAGTCCCCCGCTGGATGACCGATGCAAGTGGAGCAAGTGGAGAGGAGCAAGGCAGTCAACTGGGCTCACCGATGCAATCGTCATAATTCTTCGTGAAGCCGGTGATGCAAGTACATTCCGGATTTCCATACGCATCCGTCTTGCACTTGCCGCCGGTCCCACAATCCACAGAAGCACACTTGTCTGCAGATAGATACACATACAAGGAAATGATGAGGTTTGACAACAACGGAATCACGTAGTGATGCATCGTGAGTGTCATGCCTGGCGACTGTTTCAGAAACCAAAGGCAGATCGAATCTCTCAAGCATGCATACGATCAGTGATGTGTTTCTCACACCCAATATCATACCGTTAACCCCCCTTCATCACAATGCCACTACCCCCACTTCTTGGGTGTAGGCCAGCGTAACATGCCACTTCCACCACGCCTTGTGGATGACTGAGCGAGTGCAGAGCAGAGCAACTCAACCAGCAGGACTCACCAACGCAAGTGTCGTTGCCCGGAAGCCTCTCGAAGCCAGTGATGCACTCGCAACTTGTATCCCCATTCGCATCCTTGACGCAGGTTGATTTGGCCGTGCAAGTCACGAGCCGACACTTGTCTGCGATGCACGCGCATTAGGAAGAGCAATGGAGGTGCGGTGGGTGAAGAATGGAATGGAGGCTGTGGGAGGAGAACATAATCACATGTGAGAAATGAGGCGCAGAGCAGATGCATGCACGCACTCCAGCCCATCAATCAATGGCTCGCTCGCTCGCTCCAGGTGCCAGTGCGTGCAACTCACCAACGCAAGTGAGATTGTTGGGAGGCATCTGGAAGCCAGTGTTGCAAGCACAGGTAGCATCTCCATTCGCTTTTTTGATGCACTTGCCGTTGGGGCCACAGTTCACAGAATAACATTTATCTGAAATATAAGAGAGGGGCCATGGAAACACGCAAGGATAGCGCGACAGGGAGTTATAACACAGAAGCGGCACTTCACGAGGCTCCATGGCTGCTGTGGGCTGGCTATTTTCACCTCCTTATATTTCATTTCATACCAGTTGAACAGGGAATACTTACCAACAGCACATGTAGTGTTGTCAGCGCTCATGTCATACCCCTTGTTGCAAAAGCATTGTGGGGTTCCGACTGCGTCCCTGACGCAATAGGCGTTGTTGGCCATACAGCTCAGCATGCACTTGTCTGCGGTGGAGGGGAGGTGATGCAAAAGAGGAGAAAGAGAGAACCCATCAGCAGAACGCACCGAGTTAGAAACAACACATCACATCACAGCACTACTCGTACTTGCAAACAGGACATTGCACCCATGGTTGGTAGGCGAGCACTGGTCAGTCAGGAGAGAGAAGAAACCCATCAGCAGAATGCTCGAGGAAGAAAAGTTGGCGAGCGGTCATACCCCGACTTTGAATTCCCAAGTTGAATCATCCGTGGTCCTCTGTTTACAGCACTAGTCGTACTTGCAAATGAGGCATTGCACCCATGCTAGGTGCCGAGCGCTTGTCAGTCAGGAGTGAGGACAGGAGCGCAGAGACTTTTTATGGAAGCACAGGTCAGCGATGCTGGTTGGTAAGTTTGTAAGCAAGCATGGCAGAGTACCTTGGCAGGTGTCGTTGATGGCAACATAGCCGTCCTCGCACTTGCAGGTGGCAGCCCTGATGTTCTTGGCGTCCAGGCACACAGAGTTGGGCGGGCACGTGGTGAATCTGCACGGCATGGCTGTGAAGGAGAGCAGGAAACTCACGTCAGACTCACTCCCTATCTGCCAATCCCTCACTGACGCTCAAGAAACTAAAAAAATGTGGCTTCATTCAATGGCCGGGGTGAAAGGTAGGAAGCGGCGTAGAGCAGCAAGGGGCGACGAGCAGCAAGGGGCGTAGAGCAGCAAGGGGCGTAGAGCAGCAAGGGGCGTAGAGCAGCAAGGGGCGTAGAGCAGCAAGGGGCGTAGAGCAGCAAGGGGCGTAGAGCAGCAAGGGGCGTAGAGCAGCAAGGGGCGTAGAGCAGCAAGGGCGTAGAGCAGCAAGGGGCGTAGAGCAGCAAGGGGCGTAGAGTAGCAAGGGGCGTAGAGCAGCAAGGGGCGTAGAGCAGCAAGGGGCGTAGAGCAGCAAGGGACATAGAGCAGCAAGGGGCGTAGAGCAGCAAGGGGCGTAGAGCAGCAAGGGGCGTAGAGCTGCAAGGGGCGTAGAGCAGCAAGGGGCGTACAGATTCTGCAGGCCACAGCCGCAAGCGGACTGATTGGAGTGATGGACGTCTGGCTGCTCGAGGGAAGCAAAACAAACACGCGGGCAACACACAGACAGACAGCTTTGAGTCACGGTCCACTGATCATCATCATGGGCATTCCATCGCACCTCATCATGGATGGAAACGAATCCACTTCCAAGTTCCACCAACCCACAAGCTTCCCACATCGCACCCCATTTAAACGAATCCAATTCCAGCCCACAAGCTTCCCGCCTGCTCAGAACCCATAGAACATGCCATCCATGCCATCCCGTCCCCCTTCACCTCCCATCGCGCCTCTTCTCCTACCGCCTGCCTCTACCCTTGCCCTGCCTGCCTCCACCACACGAACTGACATGGAGCTCGAAGCCATGGTGTCGAGCGGAGTCCTGTCGTCGCAGCTGCTGCCCCGAAAGAACGCCACTTGCACGCACGGCGCACTCGCCACACCCCCCTGCGAGCTGCTGTTGCTGCTGCTCCCCCACTGCACGCTCACAGGCGTGCTCACGCCAGCCGGCGACGTGCCGTCGGGCACGGTTGCACAGCGCAAGTAGGGGTCGAAGGAGACGCTGTAGCGGCCTACTTTCACCGGCGTGGCCACCACTATCCTGGCGGTCACCTCCGTGGGCCACCCCGCACTGGCGTCCACAGCACTGCTGGCTGGCGGCGGCACTCCGGCTGATGTCCCCCACCCACCCCAGGGAAGACGTCACGTGATATGCGATGCGGGGAGGGCGAGGAGGGGGCGCGCGCAGCACAGCGAGGGAGGGAGTGGATTAGGTGGGTGAGAGGGGCCTGTGGGGCAGCATGAGGCGGAGTGGCAAGCGATGCTGCGACCCATGCAAGGGGGGAAGGGAAGGTGGTAGTAGTGAAGCGCTAGGATCCTACTCGAGTGGCGTACCTTGGCAAGCACCCTTGGAGGCATAGAGGCCCTGATTGCACGCGCAGGTGACGCCTCTGGTGTCCGTGGTTGTCTTGCAGGTGGAGCCCGCAGGGCACTTGGCGTACTGGCACATGTTGTCTGCACGCAGAGGAGGAGACAGGTGGGATGGGATGGGATTAGCTGCTTCTGCTTGCTCACAGGCGACTGATTGTTGACGGGAATTGCTGTGCAGCGACAGGCACTCTACTGACTGGGCTGGTTCTGGAAAGAAGCGGATAAGGAGCGTACCGATGTTGCAGCGAGCCGACACTGAGAAGCCATAGGTGAGATTGTATTTGGTGGTGTCGGGGGTCATCCTGGTGCGGGGAGGGGGGGCACAGGGAGCACGCGAGAGAAGAAAAGGCTGGACTTGAGCCACCATGGAGGTCACAACGCGGTCACATCATAGCTTGGACCACGTCCCGTTTTATCATACGGTTTAGCACCACACCGAGCAACCAGTTTAGTAGACTCAATGCCAGACGTCAGCTGAAACAAATTCCACCCCACCGTACCCCACCGTACCCCACCCCAGCCCACCCACGGCACGCACCCCATGGCACAGGGGCCATGCGGCTGACCTTTGGAAGGACTCTCCAGTGCACGAAGGGCCGTTCCAGAGGGTGATGTTCTTGCACGAGAGCACCCCGGGAGCGGTGGTCCACTGCACGACGGCGCTGAGGTTGGTGCGCGGCAGGTTGGTGCAGCGCGCCACCGTGAAGTTGAAAGTAAAAGTGCTGCCCAGCGAGATCCGCGTCGCCACCAGCAGCGTCGCCGGCACCTCCGTGAGGCTTTGGCCGCACGCCCCGCGGATGACGTCACTCGCTGCAGGTGAGGGCGAGGAGGGACGGGAGGGGAACATAGCAGAGCGGGGAGTTGGTTGGTGCGGTCACCGCGTTTCCGCGTTTCTGGTCTGCGTTTCCGCATTCGGTGCCGTGCGGATCCTAATGAGGCTCTCGAGCACGTCGCGTGACGCGGAGAGGGTTACATCGCGGAAAAGGGATTGCGCCAGGCTCTCGAGGACACAAACGCTAGCGAATAAATACGCCCACGTGCCCGCGGGCACAAAGACGCAAAGGGAAGACGATAGAACGCCGGCATGCGCACACCAGCAGCACTTGCGGGGCGGCACGGCTGTTGGACTGACCGAGAATGAGGGCGAGCGCGAGCAGCGCCGGAAAGCCGCCCATCGTGGCGAGCGGAGCGGAAAACCGATCGGCGCAGCGGAGAGGCGCGGCGGAGAGGCGCGGCGCAGGTGACGGTAGCGATGGTGGATGGCAGTGCTTGCCGAGATATGGGAGCAGATTCGCCGATGATGGTTGGGCAGAGTAAGGGGCGGCGAGATAGTATCGCAGAGAGAGCGACGGCGAGATGGCACAACAGGGGGGTATGGCACAGAAGCGGCACTTCACGAGGCTCCATGGCTGCTGTGGGCTGGCTATTTGAAGTGCGAGCTCGACGCTACCACGCCGCTGCGAGGCGAGGAAGGTTGTGGAACGCGTTAGTGTGGTGGGGGAGGAGGTCCATAAGTGAGCGGGGAATGTGGTGGGATGGATGATAGGCGACGAGAAAGTGGAGGATTGTGAGGGGGTGTTCGGCAGGGTCAGTTCACAAAAACTGGGGTCAAAATCGCATGACTTGGTCGGAATGGCGAGCAAAAAGAGCTGATATAAAACGTGACCTGTCTCCGCAGACGAATTTTGGGTTCGTTACAAATAAAGCTCCTCAGTGTAACTCGCGTCCTTAGGTCGTAACCAAAACCACTCTCGATCGCCATAGTATCGAGGTGTATGCGCCCCTCCAGAAAGTTTCGAGCAGGAAGCGATGATCGCGTCACTCGGGGGTTGAACGCGTCACGCACCAGTCAAACGAAAACCCATCTATTCGAAAATTCTGCGCACAACAGGTGTGCCATACAACGAGTACATTCTAATGTCTTTGATCTTCAATTCTCCTCCAAACCACTACGATTCGCCCCCGTAACTTTAGCCACCGTTACGAGCCACTCTTGCCAGATATCCTCGCTGTCAAAATTGTCTTGACTTTCTTATTAGGATTACTCATTTTGATCTTAAAAAATCAATTCAGCATGTTTACATGATGTTACAAGTGCAATAGAGTGAGCGAAAGAAGACTGCACTATCGAAGCAGAATAATGCAATGAGCGAAGGCATGAGCGAATTTCTATAATAGGCGAAGTGTTTAGGCAACGATAACGCGCTCGCGAAATGTTGCCATTTCGGGCCTGATGTCGAGGTTGGGAATTGTCAAAGGCTGGGTCGCGGGTTACCAGCCGAGCCGGGTGGTTTGGCCGTGATGGTCGCGAGGCGGTAACGGGCTACTGTTGGCGGTACAGTGGCGGGCACTGTCCTATACGCTATATGCAGTGTAACGCAGGGCAATAAGAAGGTGTTTTCCTTACATTACCTCCCTCCTCAAAGGAGTCCTCTTATAAAAGCGTGTCTATGTCGAGGAAGTTCCGGCTGCGCAGACACTCGGTGAGGACGAGGTGGTTTGCAATTTTGTCTGGAGGGGCCTAACTGTCCTTGGTAGGTGTAGGGTCTCTCCAACGGACGAGAATTTTGATGCGTCGTGCTCCCCGTGGGTCACGTACTCGGTTACTCAACACCTTACATGGTTCATGATTGGCTCGGTTGGCGGTTGTGTCATGCTGTACAGGCGGCTGCGTGGCAGTTGGATTGTCGAGGGTACGTAGGGGCGAAAGGGGCTAACGTGGAAGGATAGACTCACGTACCGGTCTTCGGGCAGGATGAGATGGGCGGTTACAGGGATGATCATGTGACTTATGCGGAATGGCCCGCAATATCTCAGGCGTAATTCTGGTGTGTGTCAAACTGTGTTTCCATCTCTGTAGGCTGTAGTGGGGTAGCTTACACAGAGTACAACCTTTTTAGGGCTACCCTACATGTACTTCTCATGCTGCCTAATCTCATCATTCCTGCTTCGTATTCTAACATGGTTTCAGAGTAGGTTCTGTCCTACTGTTAGGGCCCGTTTTACTGTTAGCATGCACATTGCCCCGCGCGTACCCGCACGCCCTGCTGCCCCGTGCGCCCTGCGCGCCCTGCTGCCCCGCGAGCCCTACTTCCCCGCGCGCCCAGCTGCCCTGCGGGCCAGCGAGCCCTGCTGCCCAGTGCGCCAGCGCGCCCTGCTGCCCAGCGCGCCAACATGCCCTCCTGCCCAGCGCGCCCGCGCGCCCTGCTGCCCAGCGCGCCAGCGCGCCCTCCTGCCCAACGCGCCAGCGCGCCCCGCTGCCCAGCGCGCCAACGCGCCCCGCTGCCTAGCGCGCCAGCGAAGCCCGCTGCCCAGCGCGCCAGCGCGCCCCGCCCAGCGCGCCAGCGCGCCCCGCCCAGCGCGCAGCACGCCCCTCTGCCCAGCGCGCCAGCGCGCCCCGCTGCCCAGCGCGCCAGCGCGCCCCGCTGCTCAGCGCGCCAGTGCGCCCTTCTTCCCAGCGCGCTAGCGCGCCCCGCTGCCCAGCGCCCGCGTATCCCCCGCTGCCCCTTGCCCGCGCGCGCCCCACTGCCCAGCGCCCGCGCGCCCCTGCCGTGCCCTGCAAGCGCTGCCTGCGCCTGCCCTGCTAGCACGCCCGTGCCGCTGCTACAGCTGCCGCCCGCACGCTGCCCTGCGCCGTGCGCTGCCCGTGCGCGACTGCCCTACCCTGCCTCGGGCGCCTGCCCTACCTACACGCACTGCCAGTGCGCACGTGCCCTGTTCCGCATCTACTGCCCGCATCCTGCCCTGCCAACGCTGTCAGCGCACCGCAGCCCTGCCCCACGAGCGATCCGCACTAGAGCACCCAGTTACTCGCGCACTTATCTAGCTGCTCCTGCGCTGCTGTTACTAGCTGCCGCTGACTGCCATGGCCACTACCACTGTCCTACATCAACGGCAACCAAGTGTGCAGGAGTCTCTCTCACCGCAGCAGCTTCGCGAGTGGGCTATCTGATGGGGCAGCCCCGGTGGCGGAGCTAGCCGTGCTAGAGCTGGAGGTGCTGGTGCTGGCGGTCCTCGTCCTCGAGGACCAGTGGGTCACTGTCACCCAGCCTGGAGGAGAGCTTGTGGCGATCTGTACGGACTCACGCACCGGTGAGCACCTTGCCACGTTCACTCGGAGGCCCGGGTCTGGTCTGTACACACTGACTACTAAGTCTGCACTGGTGGCTGAGTCAGGTCAGGTAGCTGCGTCAGTTGAGGTCGCTGCGTCTTGTTCGTGTCGTCTCCTCACGCACCAGACTCTCCTCTGGCACCACCGACTTGGCCACCACTCCTTGCCACGCATGCGTGGCATGCACTCCCGTCTCCTTGTGTCTGGTCTCCCCAGGTCCCTGCCCCCACTTCCGAGGTTGCTTGCACCGCCCTGCCTTCCCTACGTCGATGGGCGGCAGCGCGCCGCTCCTCCCTCCTCCTCGTTTCCTCCTACCACTGCTCCTCTGCAGACCCTCCACATTGACGTGTGGGGCCCCGCCCGCGTCACTGGACAGGGTGGCGAGCGCTACTTTTTGCTCATTGTTGACGACTACACGCGCTACACCACGGTCTTCCCCTTGCAGATCAAGGCGGAGGTCCGCATTGTCTTGATCCGCTGGATCCGCACTGTCCGTCTCGAGCTTAGCGCTCGTTTCCGACAGGACCTTCCGGTCCTGCGGCTGCACTCTGACCGATGTGGTGAGTTTTCCTCCCGCCTTCTCGACAACTTCTATGGTGCTGAGGGCATCCGACAGTCGTTCACGCTCCCGGCCTCTCCACAGCAAAATGGGATTGCAGAGCACCGCATCGGCTTGGTCATGGAGGTTGCTCCCACCTCCATGATCCATGCGGCTGCTCTCCAATTTCTGTGGCCGTTTGCGGTCCGATACGCCGCGCACCAGCTCAACCTCTGGTGCCGCGTCTCCGTGCCAGTGACCTCGCCTACACTGCGTTGGACGGGGGAGGTTGGCGATGTGTCGGAGTTTCGGGTCTGGGGTTCCCTCTCTCTTGTCCGCGATCTGCCTGCGGGCAAGCTCTCTCCGTGCACTCTTCGGTGCGTGTTCCTTGGCTTTCCCACCGACGCACCACCCTGGCAGTTTTACCACCCGGGCTCTCGTCCTATGCTGTCCTCCCGCGACGTCAATTTTGACGAGTCAGTCTGCTTCTACCGTCTTCACCCCCATCGCAGTTCCCCGGTACCCCTCCCGCCTCTCTCCCTGGTTGTCGACTGCCCCCCTATAGCCTCCCTCCCTCCTCTCGGTCCTGCTCCCTCACGTGTGTCTCAGGTAGACCCACCCCCCTTGGTTGAGCCTTTGGAGGTCTTCTCTGACACCTCTGGCCCAGCTGAGGGGGGTGACCCGACTGCTGCCGACACAGTGGCCCCTCGCTGCTCTGCGCGCTTGGCGGTCCTTCCTGGTTTTCTGCCTCCACCGTCTTCACCGCCTCTGCGGCCCGTCGCTGTGGACTATGGTGCTGCTAGAGGTGGTGACACTGGGGGTGCGGACTCTAAGGGTGCTGGCTTTGGGGGTGCTGCTAGTCCTACAGGTACAGGGGGTGCTGGAGGTGCTGCTGCTGGAGGTACTGCGGGTGTAGGTGCTGGTGCTAGTGGTGCTGATGCACGTCGGCAGGACCTGGAGGTGCTAGTGCTGGTGCTGGAGTTCCTGGAGTTGGCCGTGCTGGAGGTGCTGGTGCTGCAGGCACTTCTGCTACTGGAGGTACTGGAGGTACTAGTTCTGTGAGTGCTGTTGCGGGTGGTACTCTCTCATGTCGACAGGAGCCTCTCTCGACGTAACGGCTTCGCGAGTGGGCTGTTCGGCGGGGCAGCTCTGGTGGTGGAGTTGGACGTGCTGGAGCTGGAGGTACTGGAGGTACTGGCCCTGTAGGTGCTAGTGCTGTTGTTCCTGGAGTTGAAGGCACTGGCGGTACTGACGCTGGAGGTGCTACTGGAGGTACTGGAGTTGGTGGTGCTAGTCGGCAGGAGTCTCTCTCGCCGCAGCAGCTTCGCGAGTGGGCTGTCCGTTGGGGCAGTCCTGGTGGTGGAGCTGGAGGTACTGGTTCTGGGGGTGCTGTTCCTACAGGGCTCGAAGTTCTGGGGGTGTGACTACTCAGCAGCATCCGTCTGCGCTTCGTTACCTTCTCAGTCTCCCGCCTGCTGCTACTGAGTTCTTGGTTGCTGGTACTACTCCTCTGTTAATGTTCCCACCGATTGACCAGTCTCAGCCACAGCTATTGCCTGGCTCCCCGCTGCCTGCTCCTGCTCCTCACACTGAGGTGACTGAGTCCCTGACTAAGCGTCGTGAGCGTCAGAGTCGTGCTTCCACACCTGTTCGTGCTCATCGTGTTGCCCGTCCTCGTGCTCCAGCTGTGCCAGGCACTCACCGTACGGCACTTCGTCCTTCCTCTGTTCCACAGCGTGATGTCCTGCCATCGCCTACTGCGTCTTCTCTTCCTCACGTTCTTGACCCTGAGCCTGACCTTGTCCGTATTACCAGTCCGACTGTCACTCGTCTCCTTGCCACGGTTGTGACTGACCCTTCCCTTGAGTCTGCTGCTGCGTCTGCCTTAGTTACTAAGCTTGTTGACTTTGCTGCTTTTTTCCGCCTTGACTACGTTGCGAGTCTTGTTTTTTACTTTACCTGTCCTCCGTCAGTCGAGGGTGAGCTTGCCCTTGGTTGTGACGTCCTTGAGGACAGGAAGTTTGAGCTTGAGTGCCTAGCGGTCGCTGCACCTCATCTCGGGTCCACGCTACTTTGCCTTGAGGGAGACCCGGATGCACTGGACATCCCGACCTCGCGTTCTTACGCAGACGCGATCACGGGTCCGTACTCCTCTCAGTGGCAGATAGCCATGGACGCAGAGATGGCTTCATGGAAATCCACAGGCACCTACGTCAACGCAGTTCCCCCACCTGGGGCGAACATAGTCGATGGCATGTGGATTTTTAGGGAAACGCGGCCGCTGGGTTCTCCGCTTGCCTTCAAGGCGCGTTACGTTGCACGAGGCTTCAGTCAATGTGAGGGGGTCGACTTCTTCCATACCTTCTCCCCCACCCCGAAGATGACCACTCTTTGGGTGCTACTGCACGTTGCAGCACAGCGCGACTACGAGCTGCACTCCCTCGACTTCTCGACAGCCTTCCTGCAGGGCAGCCTTCACGAGGCTATCTGGTTGCGCCGCCCACCTAGCTTTATTGGGTCGTTTCCTGAAGGTACCCAGTGGAGTCTTCAGCGACCAGTCTACGGTCTGCGTCAGGCGCCACGTGAGCGGCACGACACACGGAGGACTACACTTGCGACTCTTGGCTTCGCTCCCTCGACTACTGACCCTTCGCTGTTTCTACGCACCGACACTTCTCTGTCGCCGTTCTACGTTCTTGTGTACGTCGACGACTTGGTTGTAGCTACTGCTGACACTGAGGCACTGGCCCTAGTGAAGGCGGAGCTGCAAGAGAGACACACCTGCACTGAACCAGGTGAGCTTCGGAGCGATCTTGGCTTGCGGATCACCCCGGACAGAGCACGGCGCACCATCACCCTGACTCAGTCATACAGTCACACATGGTGCAGCAGGTCCTTCAGCGCTTCGACTTCTCGTGGTCTTCGCCACAGCCCACTCCTCTGTCTACAGGCCACTCGCTCTCAGCTCCACCTTCGGACGAGTCCGTAGAGCCGAGTGGTCCGTACCCAGAGATTGCCTCATGCACCTGATGACGTGCACACGACCTGACCTCGCGTACCCTCTCAGCCTCCTAGCTCGCTACGTGGCTCTCGATAGACACCGAAAGGTGCACTGGGAAGCTGCGAAGAGGGTACTGCGTTACTTGTGCAGTACATCAGGCATGGGGCTTGTGCTTGGAGGACATGGACCAGTTGTTCTCATCGGCCACTCAGACGCTTCTTAGGCTGACGACCAGACGACTCACTGGTCGAAACAGGGGTACAGGTTCAGCCTCGGCGCTGGTTCTGTCTCATGGAGGTCCACTCGCTCGTCTTTTGTACTTAGTTTCAGCTGTGAGGCCGAGATCTACGCTGGGGCTATGGCTGCACAGGAGCTCCGCTGGCTGACCTACCTGCTGACCGACTTGGGTGAGCGGCCTCGTTCTCCTCCAGTTTTGTACGTCGACAACAAGGCCATGATTGCCTTGTGTCAGGACCAAAGACTGGAGCACAGAACGAAGAACATTGCTCTCCATTACTTCTTCACGCGAGAGCTGCAGCAGCGCGGCCAGCTTCATCTTGCTTACGTGGCCACACAGGCCAAGACAGCTTATGTCGTCATCAAGGCCCTTGGGTCTGGTGATCATCAGCGTTTCTGCACTGCTCTTGGGCTTGTGCCCACTCTGCCTCACATGCTTGTCTCTTGATCTTGCCTTTCCCTTGTTGTACACTGATATATATGAGTATACCTGCATGCTTACACTTGCTAGGTTGTGATCAGTGTACTGCCCTTGCTATTATAAACTCTGCATGTGAACTGGCCTTGTGGCCGCTTGCTTGTGCTCGAAATGCGTGGTGATCTTGAGTTCCCCCTTCAGCTGTGCCTTGCTTTGTTCTCTTGCTTGACTGGTCCCGTGACCGTTTGTAGTTCTTGCTATCCCCCACTTTGCCTCTGGGGGTGTGTCAAACTGTGTTTCCATCTCTGTAGGCAGTAGTGGGGGAGCTTGCATAGAGTACAACCCTTTTAGGGTTTCCCTACTTGTACTTCTCATTCTGCCTAATCTCATCATTCCTGATTCGTATTCTAATAGTGTGATGGGCAGGCGGGGA